GTGATCCGGGGGGATGGATTTGAGCAAGGGGGCAAATGATTTTGATGGCTGTGGAGTGGGAGGAGACTTGCAACTCTACAATTTTTTGATGACCTAGAATCAGAAGGGCTGGGCGGCAGTCAGCTGGTTTGATCATACACAGCTCTTCTTTCTCTGGCAATTCTATACCCAGCCCAATCTGGCCTGTTGACAAGATGTACTCACTTGGATCGTAGGCTTCCCCAGCAAAACTCTCAGACTGTTCAATCCCAGACGTAACAATCCCATTCTTTCCTGCAGTCTGCCCTGCCTCATCTTCGATGGTCACCACCGTTGGCTTGGGTTGGGTTGTGGAGATGTCCATCATGCACAAGAAGTCAGTGCAGTCGGGAAGGAGCACCTCCGGCTTAGGTAGATGGGTAGGAGTAATATAGATGCTAGGATCGTAAGACACGACCCCAGTCTGGATAAGATTGACTCTTTTGGGAGGTGGAGCTTGGTTGTGTGTAGGGAGGGGGTTGGTTGTGACGTTGGGTTTTTCTGGCGGCAAAATCACATTTTTGTCAATGAGATCCTGAATCTCATGACGTAATCTGAAGCATTGGTCAGTGTCATGACCGTGTTGTTGGTGATATGCACAGTACTTGGCTGGGCTGTGAGAGGGTGGAAGTGGATTTGGTAATGGCCTCGGCTCTAGGGGTTTCAGATGCCCCTTTCTGATTAAGACCCCCAGAGCCTTAGACAAAGGCATGTACAGTGGGGTGAAGGTTCTTTGGCCTCTGGGCTGGTATTTAGTGGTTTGGGTATTACTTCTGGATGCACCGGAGAAGGGTGTAGCTGCCATGGGCCTTGGAAGGGGAGGGGGAATGGTGGCGACCATGCTGACCTCCGAAGCTCTTGCGGTTGCAGTGCCACTCGGGCCTGCCCTATTGTTGCGGTTAAAGGTTCTCCGGGGTTGCTCCCTGTCCTGATCAATCAGACCTTGCTTCATCGCATCCTCGATTTGTACCCCCATCTCACGTAGATCCGAAAAGGTGGGGAAGGGAAGTACAATCATCTTCTGCATTAATTTTGGTTGGAGATTGCGCACAATCATCCTGATTTGGTCCTTATCAGTGGGCCTCAAAGTCATCATCGATGCCTTCGCCCTCCACCAAGTTACGAAATCTGAGAAGTTTCTTTGGGCTCCTGCCTCGTTGTTTCGAGATCACGAGTTATAATCTCGATCTGGGTATTATACGAGTACTGAGCGACAAAGGCCTCGGCCATTTCATCCCAACTTCTTTTTACCTCATCTTCCAACTTTGCATACTAGATAGCAGCCACACCCGACAGGATTCGGCCGAACAGCAAAAGCTTTTGTGGTCGGTTCAGGCCCATTGGCCGCAGTATATCTAAGAATAACCGGAGGTGGACCATGGGGTCCCCGGATCCGTCGAAACGATCAATCTACGGCATCTTGAATCTATCTAGCAAAGTTACGACCACATCGGTATATCCGTCCTCGATATCCGGAATAGCTTTACTCCTTGTGATTTCTTGAAAAGCTTCTCGAGCTTGCTCAGTTTCAGAGCTGTATGGTCTATTTCGAACTCGAAAGGAGAGTCCGGGTGGTTAGGTGTATGGGTTTTGGACAGTTGAGGCGGAAGCGGGGGCGGAGCTGGCCCCGTTGGAAGGTCTGTGCCCTCTTGGATGTTCTGGACATTGGGTAAGGTGTTCTGGGTGTTTGGCAGAGCATTCTGGACAGTAGGTGCTTGCTCGGGTAACGGGACCCCTGGTGGAGGAGGAACTTGATGTGAGGCCGATGTTGCATTTTACTGTTGCAGTCTAGTGATTAGCTCGGCCTGCTGAGCCATGACTGTGGCCTGTTGTCTAGAGAACTCTGCTTGACGGGCGGCGTCCTCCTGCATTTGTTTCATGCTCTCTTGGAGCTGGCGCATCATTTCCTCCATTCCGGCTACATTCTGTTGATCCTGCTGACTGACGGGTATGTGTATCTCTATGGCAGAAACTAAAACCTCAACCCGACTGTTTACTGCTAGGGTAGACCACTGTTCTGGTAACCTCTGTTCAGACACACTGCGTCTTCTTGGCCTTCTTCTGACAACTGGGGGTAGAGAATGAAACACTGGATGTCCGTTAACCAGATCCTCGGATCGATTGAGCCGACGACCTCTTGTCCAAAGTGCTTGGGGAATATCTACTAGGTCGGAAGCAATTGTGCTAGAACTGCCCCTAGTAAAAAGATAAATAAAGCAAATAAGGAAAGAAATAAACAGATAAACAGACAGCATAACAGCTTAAAGTAAATGCATGACACACAGCCGGGCATAACAACACACGGTCGATAAGCTGAATACACACTGTCCTCAAACACTGATCATTATTCCTGAATCACTGTCCCCAAAACTGAATCTCTGATACCCGCAGATAACTGATTCTCAAATACTGACTGATGCCCGCAGGCCTGATGCCCGCGTGCACACGGGCACGCAAACTGAGACAGATAAGTGAGAGCCAAAACACCCCTATGTTGGGGTAGGGTTTCCCTGTCCTATTTTGTCAGGAGCTAGGGTTTCATTACGTACGCAGCGGTTTCAAACAACCTATAAACGGGTACGCAACCTGTCCTAGTTTGGAATGGTCACTATGGATTCGAATATGCACTAGGTCGAATGGTCAAAGAGGGTGCCCGGTAAAACCGGGGTTTGTGTTCCCATACTGGCAGAGCCCACAACCGGTCAGCCTTATGGTCATGCCTTGACAAGACAAGCCTCCGGCAAACCGTTCAGGAATAGCAGATGGCAAACACGGTGTCCTAGGCGCACCAATGCAAATGCAATGCAAAGAAACACACAAGTGTAGTCAAAAACAGATATCATGAGTTCAAGTCAAGTTCTTTAGTTCCCCAGTGGAGTCGCCAGAAACTGTAGACGTCCCCGAACGCCTCGGGAGGGATGAGTCCCCGTTCCGTTCGATATTGGGCTCACTACAGTTCAGGACTCAAATGTCACGGTTTTTAATCTGAGCCAAAGAGTCCAAATTCGGCAAATCGTTTTGAGAAAACAAATTTTTACAAAAGAAGTGCCAAACATGGACTGCTTTGCCAGATACAGAGTCGCCACCTAAATATATTATTTTGGAAAATTTAGGAAACCCTGACTCATTGCCTAAGGCCACGTGTCCGTCATCACCAAAGTTGCCTCGGCTCGGGAACTTGGGTACGATTGGGGAAGGTCACTTCGTGAGCACCCCCGCTCGCCCGATCAAAGATCGGCCTCTACTAACTATGATATCTATTTTTGAAAAACATTGTGTGTTCTTATTCCGGTTATTAGCCTAGATTTACTATGTGATGCGCACAGCATACAAGTATAGACTGGATCGCTTGAATTGGAACAAAACATTTCATGTTTGTTTTTGAAAGATGGTTTGATGGTGCTTGTCACGCCCCAAACTCGCCCTAGAAGTTTGGCAACGAGACCGGCCAGTAATCCTAGATTACCACAGGCCTTGCTATACAAAACATACATAAGCGGGGCTTGCGGAAGCGAAAACAAAACACTAATAGTCCAAAGAGCTGTGCATTTATATGAACATACATTACATGCCAAAAAATGTTAATTACCCACTACATTACATCACATATAATCAAAATTCATGTACAAAACATAGGCTCACGCCACAGATACAACAAGACAAAGCTCACAAAACGGCCTTCCAGGCCTAGCCCCGGCTCGGAGCACACAAAACACTGGGTAGGCTTCAAAACGGCGGCTCGGCTCGGACTCCGCCTAGGCTTGACTTCCAGAATGCTCACCTATAATACATAAATACAAACAATGAGCTAGAGCTCAGCAAGTAACATAACAGTAAAGAGGTTAGTGAACGAAGTCCGACATTTTCATAAATCCATAATAGATCAATCATAAACATATATCAGTCATCAGTCATCATAAGAACATACGTAATGGCATACTCCACAGAACCTTTCATAACAGTCTATCAGTCAACAGTCTACGAGATCTCGTAACTAGTCATGGGCTTGTCCTTCCATGCCGTTCCCCATGACTCATGACGCATGGGCCTGCATGTTCCCGCCCCCATGACCCAACTATCTATGGATGCCATACTAGATTCGCAAATCAGGACATTCATTCACGGAAAACATTCTCATTTCAAAGCATAGCATAACGTAATACATTTAAAACATAGTTCATAATAACATATCTTTACAGAAATGTTAATGCTTGTGCCGTCTCCTCTAAAACAAAAAAATCCTTCCTCCCTTTCTATGTGGATGCAAGAGAGGAGACATGGGGATGGAGAGGGAATTTGGATTTGGAAAGAGCCCAAATAATGATCAAACAAACAAGATATATTAGATTGTTTTGCTTTCAAATTTTAGGTTCAAATCATTTGCCTATATGCAAATTACAAACCATTCCATCCGCTAAATTATAGCAGTCAGTTTACACGAGGCAAAAGTTAATTAAATTCCTTTACAGCTGTGTATTTCAAATCCAGAATGAAAGAACAAATTTAAGCACATATATCTAACGCATTAACTTATGTGTAGAAGGCAGTCTAATGCAATGCATTTAATGCAGTACCTGCACAACTCTGCTCAAAGTCAAGCATGCAAGCCTTAGTGCTGTTGCGAACAGAATCAGCAAATCCTAGTCCTCTGTGCAATGATTGTTCAAGGTGGGTCTTAAAACTCTCAAGTGCTTTAGAACGTAAATGTCCCAACAAGGTACTGTAAGCAGGATGCACTAACTGCATAATACATAAAACAGTGAGCATATAACATAGATAGGCAAACAAACAAAAACTACCATGATGTCTAGTCTCTCTAATGGCCTTACAAAATATGATGAAGATGATAAAATGACACAAATGTATTTCTTACCTGTAATACTTTTGTCTCTAGTTGTTGTCGCTTTGCCTTTCTCACACCTTCGTCAAAGTAGAAAGCCTCCATATCATATCTATGGAAAATGCAAACATTGAGTAAATAAAGAAAATTAGTTCATTTGATAAAGAACTAGAAACAAAAGAGGCAAAGCAGGAAAAGTACGAGGGAAGATAATTGTTCCCAAGGGAACCTACTTGCAACCTTGCGTTATTGAGTTTTTACTCATTAGAATCTGATTTATAACTATTTAGGTCAGATATTAATCGTATCAGTTTCTTATATATTTTCTGGTGTTTCATAGGCTATGGTAGTTCAGTTATTTCAACAATATCTTGTCCGGGTAGCTTAGTAGACCTTTTTTTTTCTTTTTCTTTTTTTGTGGATACTGCACATTGTGCAGTAAAGAATTCAGCCACGTCAAAACTCAAGCCGATTTATTTCTGAGTTACTCATTTGAGACCTTAAACTTACTCTGAAAGATAGGTTTCTATTATTGAGCTTAGCTTCTTCCCAAAACCTGATACTGTACCAGATCGAACAGCTTCCTCCAATGCCACCCAACCCTGTAATAAATCAAGAAGAATCAAGTATTCCTTAAAGAATGGTTTCTCATTTAGAGGACAGCAACTCATGAACAGCAAACAGATGCACAATTACCACATCAGAGGTCAAGCAACTGAGCTTTTCATTGGCAATCTCTTCACACCGGACACTGGCAACCATGACCTGATTATCAAAAACCCATATAAATATTATGCAAGACAAAAGAGACAAAATGCATACGCAAACCAAACAATTCCTTATCAATCAAATGGCAAGAAAAAAGTGTGACCTTGTGAGCAGGAAGGTCTAGATCCTTGTTTTCTTTTATAACTTTCCATATCTGTTGTGCACTGAAAGAAAATCCTGATGCAGGAACAACTCCTCTTCTATCACCAGCAAGCCCTCCTGGAGCAATAGAATGGAAAAAACGCTGCCTCAGTTGAGCAACCTGTATAAGAGGGCACATAAGGCTGAAAGACTGTAAATCCTCTATAAAACTATAAATAACTAATTACAATAGGCTCGGCTATTCTAGACATGGCATATGAAATGCTACAGCTAACATGAATTCAATTTGGAATTGAAAAAACGATGCGGTTAGTATGATGCGCCGAGCCCGGTGCATGCAAGACAGATGAAATGAATGCAAACATGCTATCATACTGTATGCTAATTGAAACATGCCCTAATCTAACCATCATAAGCGGGTAAATAAAAGGGAGAAAGACGTGGGGTTGGAAGACATACATCACACACATGCACACTTATTACAGTTGTGCCCTCGCGCAGAGGGTCCGAATAAATAATATACAGTCCCAAATAATTACAGTCCAAATAATTATAAAAATCCTAATTAATTACCAAATTAACTAAGAAAACAATAAACTGGCATGCAAGCCAGGAACTGCCTTGACTCTTCTTCAGATGATAGATGATGCATGTTCGAGTGAGGAAAAATGGGCGACGGAGGGCGATGGAGGAATAAAACTAGTTGTCAGAACAATTGCTGGCCTCCCACCCTCCTATGACCTTCCTAACAATGAAACAGAGATCCCTGCCAAAAATGAACTCAACCCGATGCAAAATGAAGGTTCGGGGGCCGAAACGCGCAGCCCGAGGCCCCGAAAACTGACTGTTAGGCACCGGAAGTGGTGTTCGACCATGAAGTTGGTTTTTCGAGCCACAGTGTCCCTCAAAAGGGAGCAAATAGGATGCATGCCAAAAACCGGAGCAAATGGAGGTGGTTAGGCGGTCCCGAACCGAGGCACACGGCCAATGGCTCCGAAAAATCGGGAACCAAGCTCCAAACGGGCAAAATGGCCTACAACCACGAAACGTAGCCTACGGCCACTGAGAGATGATCTACGAGACCTCTCCCTCCCTTCGAGAAGAGAAAATAAAGAAAACAGAGCTTGGTTCGCAAACCGAGGCAAAGCATGAAAGAGTCCGGAAGTCCGGAGGCAAGGCTCGCAGCCGAGACTCTGAAACCTCTGAACGAGCACAATATGCAACATCACCAAGTGCTCAATCGGTGACGTCTGAGTCTTAAGGTCGGTCAAAATGGGGTGTCTACAGTTGCCCCTCTTTGACAGAACTCGGAAGTCATAAGTGACGGGAGTGAATGTCAAAGCCCAGAGACGACCCATTTTTGACAAGGCCGAAGACTTAGACAAACAGGCGAGATAAACAGAGATGCGCCCGCAGGCAGGGGGCAAGATGCAAAATGATATGCACAAAGCCGAACGTAGCTCATGATCATGCAAATGCAACAAGTTGTAATGAGGCAAGTATTCGCAAATAGATGCAACAGTTTTAAGCAAGAATGCAAAGCAACAACTACATTTCATGCAGTTAGGAATGCAGAGAATTATTCAATTCTCGTCGTGTCTCACACGGAGAAGATACGATACCTGCGCGATTCGTCTGGTTGCACCAGCTTCAAATGAACCGTACATACAATATCGTGCCTGCAAAAGAAAGAAACTCAACAAGCACAACATATCTAACAACATATGTTCAATGTGATATCGAATGCAGACAATCGCGGCGTTGATGGAAAAGTGCATCGCAATGCGGGAAGGAACGCGCGTGACAACGCAAGTTTAAGCACGGAGGCTCTGTGATATCAAAGAGACGTGCATAACAATGCAAGTATGTGCATGAGAATGCAAGTTATGTGCATGATAATGCAGAACAAGCGTAAACCAGGATGTATGTTTGTCACAAAACAACGAGCAAGGAAATGCGCGTTTCGGCAAGGGCGACTCGATTGCAGCCTCCGGTTCACCTCCCAGAGAGGTTACAACATGTTCAAAAGGATATATCTCACTTTCGATGAGTAATGATGAGACACGCATCGGAAGTTGAAGCTGAGGTTCCGGCGAAGCGATTTCGCGACAGAAAGTGCACTTCTCTTGTACTTTTTCAGGTCCCAGGGACTCCAATCCTCCCCAAAATTTGCAGGGACCTTGGGGGGCATGTGAGGAACACCACCGGCCAGTTTTATTGGGAGAGGGAGGCCACCGGCCAGTTTTTGAAAAGGGAATGGCCGGCCGGCCACTTAGCCCAGATTCGGGGCAGTTTTGTCTTTTCATCCTCTTTTCTTTAAATACACTCATCCAAACACTTCGTGCTCACAAGTGCAACTCCGAAAACATCTCTTTTTCCTTCCCAAACCATTTTCTCCCTCAGATCTGAGCTCTATACACGTTTTCCAACATCCCACGTAAGTTGTTTTCGCGAAATCTTTCAGTTTTAAGCACTTTGAGTGAACCCATTAAATTTTGATTTCGGGGCTTCTTTTCTCATTTTCGCCACTTGAGGTGAGTTTGTCTCAATATTTGGAAGATTGTCTCGGGAGTTGACTTTTGTTGACTTTTTCATTTCTCGAGAGTTGACTTTTGTTGACTTTTTTCAATTTTGGCTCATTTTTGCCCTTTTTGCAGATTTCTTGAAATGGCGGGTCAATTTCCCCACGACAGAGGTTCTCCAGGCGCCGAAGGCGAGCCTGACATCATGTCTTTGCATCCGAGGGTTTGCCCCTTTATCCGCGAGAGGTACGCCCCTCAGGCTCATATCCTCCCACGGGCTGTTTTCTATCACTTCACCGATTTCGACGAGCGAGCACCCAGGGATCTCCTTCTGCGGGAGCCAGAGTATCACCTCTCCCATGAGGGCGCCGGAGGCGAGCCTGACATCATGTCTTTGCATCCGAGGGTTCGCCCCTTTATCCCCGAGAGGTATGCCCCTCAGGCTCATATCCTCCCACGGGCTGTTTTCTATCACTTCACCGATTTCGACGAGCGAGCACCCAGGGATCTTCCTTCTGCGGGAGCCAGAGTATCACCTCTCCCATGAGACACGAGAGGTATTTACTTCGTTTTTACCTTTTCTGTAACATATTATGGATTTTTCATGTATTCCGTTTGCATTCTGAACACACGGTTCAATCACTTGAATTCCTGAACACTCAGCCCATAAATTGATTGTGAACACACGGCACACATCGGTTGAGGGTTGAACACGCAGCCCAAAACACTGATTTTCTGAACACACAACCCAAATTGATTGTGAACACGCAGCACGCACTGATTGAGAGTTGAACACGCAGCCCAAACACTGATTTTCTAAACACACAGCCCAAATTGATTGTGAACACGCAGCCCAAAACACTGATTTTCTGAACACAGAGCCCAAATTGATTGTGAACACGCAGCCCACACTGATTGAGAGTTGAACACGCCGCCCAAAACACTGATTTTCTGAACACACAGCCCAAATTGATTGTGAACACGCAGCCCACACTGATTGAGAGTTGAACACGCAGCCCAAAACACTGATTTTCTGAACACACAGCCCAAATTGATTGTGAACACGTAGCCCACACTAATTGAGAGTTGAACACGCAACCCAAAACACTGATTTTCTGGACACACAGCCCAAATTGAAGGTGAACACGCAGCACACACTGATTGAGAGTTGAACACGCAGCCCAAAACACTGATTTTCTGAACACACAGCCCAAATTGATTGTGAACACGCAGCCCACACTGATTCTGAACGCGCGGCGCACTTACTTTACTTTGCACGCAGCCTATTCATTTTATTTGCACGCAGCTTATTCATTTTATGTTGAAAGATGTATCCATTCTGAATGCAGGTGACTTCTCGCACCGTGCGGGGATATGGCTCTACCGCGGCGAGAGATTGGTACGCCGAGCTCCCGGAGGCTGTTCGGGATTTGGTTGATTTGGCGGGGTTTGGGCCCTTCTGTACTGGGCTATCTCGTTGTCCTGCCAGGAGGACGTTGATGGCCGCCTTGGTGGAGAGATGGTGGGACACCACCAACTCCTTCCATTTTTCTGCCACGGGGGACTTGACTATGACCCCGTTTGACTTTGCTGTGCTGCTGGCCTTACGCGGAAGTTTGGCCTATCCCCTTATGGAGGACATGGGCACAGTGGGAGGCCGCTTGGATATATCTGCTTGGGGTTCGCCCGCCTGTTGACAGGGCTTCCGGGGAGAGGTCCCGATACACCTGGTTCTTCTTTCCTATTTTCGGCGGGTGGAGATGGAGCCCGGGACTCCTGAGGGAGGCAGCACTAGCCATGCCCGCGACTTTCTAATGTTCCTCTTCGGGACACTTTGTTTGCCGACAGGGGAACACTGTTGGGCTTTAATCTGTTGAGTGCTTTGTGTGGACCTGTCACCAAGCTCATGACGGTTATGACTGGGGTGGCGGCGGCTGGCTACCTTTATTGCTACAGAGTGCGACCTCCCGCGGGCACGGGGGACTCACCTGGCGGCTATTGGAGAGCTGCGGGAGGTACCTTTCTGCCGTCTTGATTTACATTTCTGCTCCTCATTACCTGCACATTGCACACACGGCGCACTTTATACTCTGTATCGTGCACTTTGCCCTCAGCACGTCGTATTCTGCTTTGTTTTCCACAGTTGTGGGTCTATGTGTATTTCCCGACATTGGCCCCGGAGTTGGTGGTAGAGGGACCTCTCGTGACCCCGTACTCACTTGTATTTGAAGGCCAACACCGGCCAAGACCTCGTGAGTCACTCCTTTATCTGCGACAGTATTTCGACACGGTGCGGTCGACGGAGGTACTTCAGAACTCTCAGTTCTTTCTATTTTCATCTTTGATTTGTCCTGTACATTTTTTATTTTTGCTTGGCTTATGCGTCTGTTATCCGCAGATTACATGGCAGCCCTGGGCGCCTTTAGGTGAAGGTCTCCGATTCCAGTTTGCCGGAGGGTGGGGTGCCTCCCGGTACAGGTTCCTGTTCGAAGGGCTAGTTGGTAGGGCCTGGTTTTTGGGGGATCGTTTCTTGCGTCAGGTCTGGGGGTACACTTCTCAGGACCCTCCCTCAGCACCCCCAGTCGATATGCGGATTGCCGATAGGCTCCCTTCCCGGGATGTTGTTAGCGCTATGCTGGGTACTGATGCCTTGCTACATCTTGAGAAGGGGGATTACGCTACATACCATCACATA